TTCTTAACTGCGTGTAGGAGGGCTGCCACCTGTTTAAACATTCAAATTCAATTTGAATTAAGGCAATGGGGTAACTAAAATAGGTATTTATGTCTATAATCTATATATACAATACGCGAAGGCATTTTTTGTGCAGCATAAAAGATCTGCACCGTACGTTCGATTTTCAAAAGTGAGGTACGAAATTAAAGGGCTTAGGATGTGGATGTTCAAGAACGTTTTACTTTTTCGGAAAAAGTTTTCACCTGTTAAGAAATTAAGCTTAAATTAATTAAAAAGTTAAATGAATGATTAAATATGGGCGTCAATCAAAGTGGGTTTGAAAAGACTTTATAAGTTAAGTTGCCACATGTTTAAAAAAATGTAATTAAATTTTAATTAAAGGAATTTGGTAAGTAAATAAGGTATCGCTATATGGGTGCCATACAAAGGAGGTTTAAGAAGGTAGCAGTTTGGTAATATTTTGAATAGGTTTGCTACCTATTTGAGAAGTCTAATTGAACTATTTTATACCCAAGTTATATGAAATATTAACGATGGATGTTAAATGAAAGAGCTTCAAGGAATACTTAGTTTGACAATTTAGAACATTTTTGATGCGCTTGAGGGTTGCCCAGCTTAAAGGGCTAAACTAAATTTATTTAATAAGTTAAATGAATTACTAACCGATGGTAATCAACGGAAATGGGTTTAAAATCCTTTATTTAAGAAATATGTTTAGGAGGGTTGCCACGTGTTTAATAAATGGATTTCCACTTAATTCATCAGATACTTGAAATATTTATAACTATGTCAGGCGAAATATATTTAAGGAAATTTTAGTTCGAAAATAATTTTTAAGAGGGTTGCCGCCTGTTTTGAAAGTGGTATTTTGTTTAATTATACATAAGTTACATGAAATTTTAAAATATGGTTATGAAAAGAACGAGTGTTAAGAAATCTTTACATTGAACATTTGGTTTTTTTTGTTGAAAAAATTAAGCTCAAATTATTTAATAAGTTAAATGGATTGTCAAAAGATGGGTATCAATCGAAATGGGTTTGAAAATAGTTTATTTCTAAACTGTATTTACGAGAGTTGCCATGTGTTTAAAAAAATCACATCATCACCTCTGCAACGTTATTTCGAATTTCCAAAATGTGAAGTCAAATTAAAGAACTGGGATTCTACATAGATGTGCACAGGTTTTATTTTTTGAAGTTACATGAAAACCAACACCATGCGAGACCTCTCATCACTCAGAAATGGTTATATTAATCATTAGGAATATTTTTATAGGTTTTTGAATAGGTTTCACCTGTTTAAAAAATTTTTTTAAATGTTGGCGCTTTGGCGCCAAACAATTCACTAGTTATGCGTTATTATGCTTGTTATGCAGAGTTATATGAATCTGTCGATCTCTGTGCGCTTGAATTTTGTTGCACACATACGCTCACTCCATTATATCTGCGTACACCCTTGTTTTTTAATTAGTCACAATAGGGATCTTCATCTAAAGTGATAAAGGGATAAATTGCTTATATTTATCAGCTTATCCGCATTTTTACATGAACGTGTTCGTAGCAAAAGCGGCCGCTGGCAAACTGTTAGGTTTGAATTTTACTGAAATATATACATTTATCTACCAAAGCCGTTTGATAAAGAGATCAACTTTGGTTAAATAGATGTAAATAGATATAGAATTCCATACGCAGATATAATGGAGTGTGTATTTGTTTTCAATAAATGAAATCTCAATTTGTTGCTGTTTTAAATGAAAATGGATTATTTAATAGTAGCCATTGGCTTGGCTCACCGATAAAGCGCATTTTCGAAGGTGCTAATGTCCGGAAAATTCTATAATATTAAAACACGACTATTATACATATGTATAACAGCTGAAAATGTGCTGAGATAGGGAGTTTTTGAATCGGCAGCTGAGATAGGGCGTTCTTCAACCGAATTCTGAGGTAGGGCATTTTTCTGAGATAGATCGTTTTCGAACTGGCTGCCGAGATGGGTCGATCTTCCTTCACTCAGCTGACGATATAGCAACATATTATACTAACCTGGAGAAAGGATCTTTACATGCGTAAAGCTGCTCTGCCTTCCAACTTCCCGAGGAAATTTAATGAATTGCATCCTTAGCAATGCAATTTGATGGCTTACTCTGCGAATTATACGACATGCTGTGCTCTTTGAAAGGCCACTTAGGTCACCGCCAGTTCTTTGGGTACACCCGAGCGCATAGAAACGAAGTGTTAATAAAAACATTTTTCGCCATACGAAACCTGCACCGGAAATCGGCCTCATCGAAAAATGTAAAAAATTTCGACGTCTTAGCATACGTGGCCAGCGGTTTATAAACATATTAACAATTCTTTCATTTTCCATGTCGCTATCGTCTGAGTCCATTTCTTTTAAATAATATTTTAGTTTGCGCGATGCTTGCAGAAAAAACTGGTTTGTGTATATTGATCAGCTGATTAAACGTGTAACATCTCTGAGTGTGGTTCTTCCGATTTAATTTTTATTTAAGTAATGAGCATAGGCCTTTTAAATCAAAATTAAAAACAAATCAAAATTGATTGGTGAAACCAAAAATTCGAAAATTAAAGTAATTTTCACGTAAATGAATGCGGTGAAACGCAACCTAAGCACCTAGGCATAGTTATAGATAAAAACTTAAAATTTAATAACCATTTGAACTATGTTTGTAGTAAAATTGCCAAGAAGGTTGGGTTTTTTTCGGAGGATTAGAAAACGTTTGTCAATTGATAGCGCTTTAAGATTGCACAATGTGATGATAATGCTCTACAATAGTGTTCCTGGGTACAAAATAATACTATGTCACCATTGTGAGATTTAATTAAGATTTAGCCCTCTGACGAGATTTGACGTTAAATCATTTGAGATTTACCATATAAAATTTAATCTCGAAAGGCAGTAGATTTAAGTTAAATCTTCATCAAATCTTCAATAATATTGATCAATAAGTACAATTTGTTGGATGTGGCAACCACAAATTCACATGCCATAAATCAAATGACATTTGTGTTTTCAATATACAGTTGAGGACAATGAAATCTAGCCTATCATAAAAACATGAATTTTCGTATTTTTAGGGATTTTCATATTTTTGTTAGTTTGGGAGGAAAATTAGTAATACATATTTACATAACTTTGATTGTAATAAATTAAGAAAATATTATTTTAAAAACTAAAAATTTTGAAGAAATAATTTATAGTAATATCATGCAGAGTCTTCTCCGCTTTCTATAAGTCATTTACGCGCTGCGACAAAAAATTTATAAATTTCGGTAATGGTTCTGCTTCGATAACATTGCACCGAACATCCTCTAGAACTCAGTTCGTATTCATGATATGCCAAAGGCCAACGATTGAATTTTCGTTTCCCTCCTATGAATAAGAGAGTTCTACAAAAATTTTTCTTTCTGCAAATGTTTTTTACCGTTTCGATAATTTTTCTTAAATTCGGGAAAATGATTCGGAATATGGTACCATTCTTTACACTTTCCAAACCATATATTATACATACATATTTACCACGAATAAGAAGCCAATAATATTCAGAATTCATATAATGAAATTCCGTTTGGTACCTTCCTTTTATCTGTCTGTATATCAATGTCCGCAACTGTATTTATAAAATCATACATAATCAAACGTCAAATATTTAAAGATGTGAACGTCAAACATATTTCGTTGTGGTAATGGAAACGGTTGTGATTTAGCAACTGGATTTATTAAATCTTAATGGATAAATCTCTCAATGGAGACATAGTATAAGGGTATGCGTATCCTATTGTGCAATATATTGACCCCAATAAAATACATGCTTGATACCTTAAAATGGCTTAATATCAACTAAAGAACTATAATGAATGTTTTGATATTTGTATTTAAAATGAAACATAATTTGCTACCCAAGTATTTGACAAGGCAGCTAGTGTATGTGGGAGATGTGCAACCGTATAACCTAAGGAATAACGAAGGTTTAAGGACTAATTTTTACAGATCTAATAGGTCACAAAACTTTCTGTTATATACGCTACGCTACGAAAAACGAAAAATCCACGTGCTGCAACCCTTGCGGAAACATGTGCAGCATTGCCAGCTATCAGTTGTTTTTCGAAGATAGCTGAATGAAGGAAAACAAAGTGGAAAGGAATTAAAAAAAACACTCATGAAGGGCTTATTTATAGTAAAATTGTTGGATTTTACATATTTTGAAGGAAACGGTGGGTTCTATTGCATTTGCAATTATAGCAGCGGAGTGAGAGCGCGTTATGGGAATGATTTCACAAAGATACGCGGAGCTGTCGGGCATAGTAACCATGGGCGCGTCTATGTCAGCTTCTGGTTGAATTGTTGAACCACAAGCCTATGCTTGAAGAACTGGTTCTCAATCCAGTTAATGGAATAACAGCTTCTTCCAAGCCATTGAAGACATGCACTTTATTAGGTCCACCACCTGTTGCACTTGCTTCTGCCTTCGGCCGCGCTTAGGGATTATAACCCTTACTAAGTAGAATTCTCCTTTCTGTGTTGCCGGAGAAGAAGGGCTTCCGCATGTGTTGTGGACATCACTCCGGCTACGCCATCCATAGTATTTTTGCGCAGAACCCACGTCGAAATTCGCAAAAAGGTGCATAGTGCAAACCGAATTTATTAATATGATAGTGCTCGGATATTTGAAACATTTATTTTAAATAAAATTTTAATCCTTTGATTACACGTGATGTTAAAGTTTTTGGATACGGATTATGCGTTTGGACACAACAACCGAAAATCATTGTACAAATAACTAAACCGGTCCCAAGTTTCTCGATAAGGGGCAACAAAGATTCTGTTTTACTCATTTATATAAAGCAGTGTATAAAAATATACTTATATGCGAAGGGCAAATTTATCTGTTTAAATAAACACCACTAATATTTCCAACAAGCACACATCGATTTACGTCTTTTATCTCGCCTCCGACACAGAATTGTTTTCGTACAAAATTACGCAAAAAAGCGTACTCGTTCGTTTTTAGGCATGCCATTGTTACGAATTTCGAAAATTCGAAAATACGTCAGGCGTGGCAGCGACTGTTGTCGCAGGGAGAGATATGGCAAGTATAGTACGAGAGTGGGCAATTACGTGTTTATGTTCCTCTGATTGTCCCTACTGCTAAGGTTGACGTTGTTGAATTTGGTTTTAGCTTTGTTGTTGCTGCATTTGTTGCTGGGCTTGCAACTGCAACTGTTGCTTTTTTGCCTACTGTTGCTAACATTTTCATCGATAAAGTTGTTGATGTGGAGTTGTCATAGTTCCACTCTTGTTTATGGTGATGCTGTTGCTGTTAGGAACTCAACTGGGAACACCGCTAACTTGCGTAACAGTCGCCACCGCATTGCTGCTGTAAACGATGGGCTTTACTAGTTGAATCTTTTGTTGATATTGTTTTTGCTGATGTTGTGTTTGTTGCCTAATTTGTTGCAAGGCCGAAATGTTTTGGCGCAGTGATTGTTGTTGCAGCTTCACAGCTTGTATGGCAGGACAATGAAGATGGTTATTAATTTAAGACTTATCAGCGATAACGGCTGTCGCTGCAATATTTGTCGGTAGTTTACTCAAAATTTTAGCATGCTGCAGGCGTTGTGCAGTGTTACCAGCGATTATAGTGTTATTATAGCGATTTATGAGTACGTGAGTAGTTAGGTTGCCAGTAACTTTTGTGGCAACAATTGTTGATATGGTAGTTCCGGTACTTATCCTGGACGTTGGCTGTTCCTGATTGCTGAATTGCGAAAAATAACGTGTTATTGGCACTGTTGAGACAATGCCTGAAGTGCTTGACTGTTGAGTATAAATTGTAGTTGTTGCACGGCTAGTTGGGGCAGATGTTACTAGATTGTTGTTAGCAGCATACAAAAAAATTAAAGTTTACTATTTAAAATTTTTAAGAAATATACACTTTGCAATATCAGCAAAGAACGTAGATAATAAGAAGGGACAACTCGTTATAATTGTAGCGAAAGTGCGCAACAGGGTAGTGCCTTCCCTTTTCATCCAATCAAAAAACGTACAAGGGAAAACGAGAAGGCACGCCCATGTTGCTCACTTTCGCTACAATTATAACGAGTTGTCCCTTCTTATTATCTACGTTCTTTGGTTAAACCTCATTTCCCTTGAGCCTTCTTCTGGAGTTCTATGAGGTGTCAACAGCCAGGGCTCTAAAGGATACCCTGCGTTCCCTGTTGAAAATTTACAAAAGGTGTAATTACGGTCAAGTGTATATTAATATAACAACAATACCTAAAAGCCAGACACTCCTCGCTCCTTGCAAATATTGCCTCTCAAAATAAACCCGCACTTCGCTGTTGTTCCATATGAAGGAATCGTTGCACGCCCCAGGATGGGAAGCATAAACGTAGCGAATCCTTAATTCATTGTCGCAAAGCTAAATAATGAACATAAATATGAATAAATAAGTATAGCGACGGCTGAGTTGAAGCTCGACTTATCTCGGCCGCCGGTTCGAAAACGCCACAAATCTCAGAGAATGGATCAAGAACGCCCTACTTCAGATTTTGATTGGAAAACGCCCTATCTCAGAATCCGAAAATATGTTGATATAGTGCGTTCTTGAACCATTTTATAGGACGTTTTCGAACCGGCTGCCGAGATAGGTCGAGCTTCCACTCAGCCGTCGACATCTAAAAAAGTTCTTATTTAGATAAATGCGGAAACAAGGATTAACTTACAAGCATAACGTTTAGGCTGTAGTTCCCTTTACGGTTGTAGTAAAGGTGTGCGTTTTGTGGTGGAGCAATTATTCTTACGTGGGTGCCATCAATACACTCAACAACTCCCGGAATGCCATGTTTAACATAAAAGGCTCGGGCGATATTCCTGTTTTCATCCTAGCTTTCGCTCACCTTTATCCACTGCGGGCACAAATGGCGCTCAAAAACAGTCAGCACTTCCGTCAACACTTTGCTGAAACTAGATTTCGCCTACGAAACGTCGCAGTCTTTACCCACACCCGTCTGGTACCCACATTCAGCCAAAAATCTTAAACACCCGCTCAGTTTTGCGATGGGGGATATCGCCAAAGCCTTCTCTGGTGCCTCCGTATTTGCTGTCAATACGTCCAACAAATACTGAAATTCCGACTTGTTAAGTCGGTAATACTTTTCAAATCTATGTATGTATGTAATTGAGAAAATTCATATGTAATTATTCAAAAATGTATGGAGCACCGCCAAAATCGAGCAATAAAGGGGTAATGACTTATTCATCCATCATGAATTTGTTTAGTTTTTATAAAAACTGAATTGATTCCTCGCTTAGCGATACCTCTTTGTAGTACTGGGCGAAAAATTTTAACTTACAAGGATTGCGGCAACTCGAAGGGATTTATGGCATCGCGCCATTTTCGTCGTTCGACCCTCTGCGCCATCAACCGTTCTTCCTCTTCCTCTGCATTGTTTTGTCTATGAGTACTTCTAAAACTGAACGTTGTCCTACAAAGGATTAAGCTTTAATTTAGCACTAATGTTTAAATTTCTGGAGCACTAGTTTATTAATAATGCGGCTTCCAAAATTCACATTGGCAACTGGACCTAGCAAAGGGTACTCTTATGCTATTTGCCCACTTATTTCGGGTTATTACAAGAAAACGCGTGATCTAAATTAAAATCTTTTAACTCACACGCGTAGTTAAAAGATTACACTTTAATTTAGCACTAATGCTTAAATTTCCGGAGCACTAGTTATAAATAATGCGGTTTCCAAAATTCACATAGGCAACTGGACCTAGAAAATGGTACTCTTATTCTATTTGCCCACTTATTTCGGCTTATTACAAGAAAACGCGCGATCTAAATTAAAATATTTCAACGCACACACGTACCTAAAATACTACACTTTAATTTAGCACTAATGTTTAAATTTCCGGAGCATTAGTTTATTAATAATGTGGTTTCCAAAATTCACATTGGAAACTGGACCTAGCAAAGGGTACTCTTACGCTATTTGCCCACTTATTTCGGGTTATTACAAGAAAATGCGCGATATAAATTAAAATCTTTCAACTCACACGCCTAGTCAAAAGCCTACACTTTAATTTATCACTATTATTAAAATATTTCAACTTACGAGTATAGTTAAAAGCTTGGCCTTAAATTTAATACACATATTTGAAATTTCCGCGCCCTAATTCATTAACAACATCAATCTGAAATACCCTTTTATGTGAAACACTTTTATGTATAAAACAGGCAAATTAAATGGCGGGAGTTGAGCTGCCAAAAAACTGTCAAACAGCTCTTCGAAAGTTCGAATATCCTCCTCCGAAATTTTCGGGGAAAATGCTACTCCATGGGAGTTAATAATTGGGGGATTTCTTTCTCGGGAGAAATAAGTTCCCGGAGAAGAAACTCCCCGGGAATATTCAGAATTCGGCCGAGTATGTTAGAAGCAATTGAAAATTGAAAGAAATAGTAAACTACAACAATATTATTAAAAAATGGGAACAAGTGCAAAATACGTACATTTCTCTACTTTGAACTTCAATAACACCAGTAATTATTATTTCCCCCCAAAAAAATGTAAGCCGTTATGATCTAGACTTAGACCCGTAATACTGTTTTCAGACAGAAAATTAATTAAGTCAATTAAGTTTTTAATTAAGTATTAGATTTTTTACAACGCTTTTATCAACTTGCAATGTTGTATGTCCAGACCACCATACTATAAATATAGCAAAGGTATTTATGGCAAACCTAGTCTAGATATCTACCTCGTCGTAGGTATCATATCAAAGAAATACAAGTTGCGATCCCGTACGAGTCCGGACTGGTCAGAAATAGTCAGAATCAGTCAGATTTTACTGGAAATCGATCCCGTACTCGGTTCTCTGACTACTGAGAGGACAAAAACGAGAGTAAATACGGTTCTCTCTCTGTCAGAAGTTACCAGTTTTAGTCCGACAATTTTTTGCTGGTAAATTCTAGTAAATGTGTCAAACGATCAGCTGTAGTGTGTTTGGCAACCCAATTGTAAACAAAAGAAAAGTGCACTCTGCTAATTCATGTTGAAAAGTATTTAATTACTTGTTTAAGTGGATTCTAATGAATTTGAAAGTATTTTTGGTTATGTACATGTGTGAGCTGAGTGTGTTTACATACAAAATAAGCAAAAATTTACAACCAAAATTTGGAGGTTATGTTGAAGTTGACAGAAGTTACCATTTTTTACTAGAAAGCGATCCCGTACTTTTCAATGTTACTCTCTCGCTCTGCGCGAATTTTTATCTTTTGACAGTTTTACTAGTCCGAGTCCGAGGGATACGGGATTGCACCTACAATTAGAAAAACTCTAGAGATAGACGTCGCCTCGCCAGAAGAAGTTAAAAATATGCACTACATACGCTACAGTGGAAATGGACGACACGCCATTTCTTTAAATGAAATAAACTGCTGCTATATGTATGTATGTACATATGATGTTTATACTAAATGTGAGCAAACAACGTTGTGCTTGCATAGTCTTCTGTTCTCTTTCACTGCAAGTTGAATTATTTTAATATATATTGCAAAATTTTGTACAGACAAGACTAAAAAGTAGAAAATAAATAAAATAAAGAGAACTTTTTAATATACAACGCTTTTATAAATGGACTAAAAAGTAGAAAATAACATTTCTCAGTCCCACAGAATTTGTTTTGATAACTTTTGATTTTGAAATTTTAGCAAAAGTCATAATAAACAATTAATGACATTGAAAATGAAAAGCGTGAGGCGCATGTAATACACTTGAATTGATATGAAAAGTAACATATGTATGTATGTGGGCATATGAATAACGACCGCTTAAAATCGATCTCAAATTTGTACTTTCGCTGTAGAATGTTAAATATGTAGCTTGACTATTGTCAATGAAATCGAATGCTTTGTACTGCATGCGCTCGACGTTTTTCGTTTTCAATGTCATTAATTGTTTATAATGACTTTTGCTAAAATTTCAAAATCAAAAGTTATCAAAACAAATTCTGTGGGGCTGAGAAATATTATTTTCTACCTTTTAGTCCCTTTATAAAAGCGTTGTATATTAAAAAGTTATTTTTATTTTATTTATTTGTATTTCACACACAATCAGCTGCTCGATTAACGAGTGGCTGTCAGTTGTCATAAAAGAATTTTTTTTATTTACAATAAATTGGTAAAATACAAAACCATAATTGTTTAAGCGAACTTTTTCTTGCGTATACTGCAAATATACAAGTTTTGCAGTCAGTGCTGGCTAGTTACGAAAGTTCAATGGCCTTATATAAAAAGATAAAAGAAAAAAACTTCATAATTTTGCAACATTTGCGAAGACAGCAGCTATTGCTTTACAGGTTACTGCAGAGGAACGCTACCCAGAGATCCCTCTGGAAATTGGTAAATCAAATTATAAGTACAGTTCTTCTCCTTTTATAAATGATACTTCCTCCATTACAGAATCGGCAGTCTTCTTTTTGGGAAGTTAATTGCAATTGCAACGATGACCATTTCTTTAAGACGCACTTCCGCATGAACCGCACTAGTTTCGAAACACTATGTGGCTTCCTCAAAAACCTGCACAAAGCCGACACAAACTGGCGCAACGCGATTCCATTGCAAAACGCGTTGCGATAGTTTTATTTACGCTGGGATCGTCTGGCGAGTACAGAGTGGTTTCCGAACAATTTGGTGTTGGAATATCGACCTTGTGTACATTCTTGTTGGAGTTTTGCGAGGAAGTCTGGCAAGCTTTGTCAGCGCAATACATAAAGAAATTACCACCGTCCTGTTGTTTTTTTCTACAAAGCATGTATTAATTATTTCTATATATGTTCAGATATCGGTTTTTATATATGAACATTGGTGCTCCTGGACGATGCAATGATTCGCAGATATATAATGCATCGTCAATGAAGCGAGTAATGGAGGAGAACGAATTACTGAAGGTCAGTAAAAAAGAAATAGGTGGAGTACAAATGCCTATATGCATTATTGGAGATTCTGCGTTTCGGTTTTCCACTTCCTTAACGAAGCCATATGCGTTTTCAATGGCCTTAATTGAAACACAAAAACTGTATAATTATAAGCTTTCAAAGTGCAGAAGAGTAGTTGAGAATGCATTTGGCCACTTGAAAGGACGATTCCGTTGTGTTGGAAAAGGTTTAGACAACCGAATTGGGAAGGCACCCATCATTATTAGAACCTGCTGCGTCGTGCACAATTATTTAAATGAAATGAACGACACTATAAATGACATGTGGTTGGAGAGATTGCAAGAAGTGAACAGAAATCTCGAAAATCCTGAATATGTTACGGTACTTGGAGACAATCAACCCTCACCTGACGAAATAAGGCAAGGACTATGCAATTATTTTAGTGAATACAATTTTTATTTGTTCGTTTAATTTATTTTCATTTATTTTGATTTACAGTGACTCAAACAAATGACCTCGTGTTGATTGTTTTTAAATATTAGTAATTTTTTCGAGCTAAATTTCTTGTGTTATTTTTCTATAAAAATACCGTCCAAGCTTTAACCAAAACCTTACAAATCACTGTTTCAAACTTTGTAAAAAATTTAGGAAAATTCAACATTTTACACCCTCCGCTAGGGCAGGCACCTTGTCGTTGGTGCGGGGGCTTAGCCGAATCGTCAACCGGTCCTCCCCTGGATTAAGGTAAAGCGAATGCTCTGGTAGCATCCGCGCTACCCTGACCCAGCTTAGGGCCGCTGGACGGTGCCCAAGAACTGCCACCTCCTAATCCAGGGTGTGACGCGACACCGTGGCCATTGGACGGTTTGCAGCCAGGAGGGAAACCGGCTGTATTAGAACGGCGCCTTCTCGACACCGGGCCGCCTCGAGGAGTAACGGTGGCCTTACCGCGACAAGGGGCGCTGGCGCGGCGGACGACGAGATCCCCCTACCACCTATAGACTGCTACGTCTGGTGAGTCAGACACGCGGTCGTACGAACAAGATGAATACAACTAAAGAAAATAAATACAAAAACAACAAAAACCAAGAAGAAAATAAAGACACTAAAATTAGTAAAGAGGCTACCAAGGAACAAGGTAAAGAGAAGAAAGACAGTAACACTAAGCCTAAATGCAGCGCGCAAGAGGTTCGGAGGAAGAACTTCC